ACATGAAAAAGAAAATTCGAACTATTTAGATAAGAGCAGAGAGATAATATGACTTAAATATGTTAAAATTATTAAACACTTTATTATATTTAAATAAAACATTTTCTTCCTTTCAATCTTAAAACATATTATACTTTCTCAGAACTTCATTTTAGGTTCATTCTGGGCCAACTCCCAGTCTAATGCAGATAAAAATACATGAGTTATTGGTAGGTTCCTTAAACTGGGGTGGATAGAAGAAATGCTGAAAATTCCTTATTACAGATGCCAGTGGAATGAAGTGCCTTACCTCTAGCAAATGCTGATGTGCAGATTTAAGACTATATGAGAAATCAGAAAAGTTGCCCAGGAGAGTTTTATCATATTATTCATTGAACTCAGTCTGTGATACAGTAATTGCTTCTGGTATCATTTTTCTTTTTTCTTACACGAGGTTATTATTTATCCCTGTGCCATGTGAAACAGAGAAAGGGAGTTTAAAGCAGATTCATAACTTGATGTAAAACTATCTTGTGACACAGTGTAGCTAGAGATAGGAATCACAGCTGGAAAACTGTGTCTTACTTATCAGAATTAAATATGAGAAAAGTAAGTAATACTTGACATGCTAGAGATTCATAAATACTAAAAAGATGCACTCAGGCCATGTATATTTTTCTTCTGGGAAGTTCAAAGCTATTTAAAACATATGTTTAAATTGTATTTTTTTTAATCTCACAGGGTTCAAAAATGTATTTGCTTATATCAGAAGTTTTTTTGTTTGGTTATAGATGAAGAAAATCAAATTAATAGGCAGGATGGCTAGTAGGAAAGTTGGGTTAAAAAGATTTAAATACCATAATAATTGGAACTATTTTGCTATGTTTTATTCCTTACACACAAACATATTCCTTATATACCTCACACAGTTTTAGAAACCCTTAACTTCCATTGTATTATTTCCACTGTTAAGTCATTTTGTATGAAAAATATGCAATACACATTTTGAAAAAAAATAGAGACAATGATATTTGATAATATGAACAGGAACATTTTGTTTAGATATTCATTTTTGTTAACTAATTCTGCTGGGCTTAATATGAGCTATTTTCAGAAATTTTAACAGTACCTCCATTTAAAAAAGATACATTCTAATTTAGAAAAGTGTTCATTTTTTATACAGAAAATGAATTTTCTGAATTACATATTGACTTCTTATTCACTTCTACAATGTTTTCTTGATTATGTTGTTCAAACAGTAATACCATTTTGTATACATTATAGCCCAGTACCTAATCCCAGTTGATTAAAAATCTCATAAAACCATACAACACATATTCAGTTACATAATGAAGAATATAAAAATTTTGCATTCGTGTGAAGTTTGGAAATTATCACTGAAATACATTTAATGGAGGAAGCACAGTATGGTGGTAGGTGGTCCAACAGATCAAATACCTGGGTTATAGGCAGGCAGTTAACCATATGCAAGGGGAAAAAAAGATACTTAGCACTAACACTAGTCAGTTTCTCATAACTGTGACCAAAACACCTGACAAGAACAACTTAGAGGAGGAAAAGTTTATATTGACTCATGATCTCAGAGGTCTCAGTCCATGGTCACTGACTCTATTACTCTGGGCCTCAGAGTAGTATGTCACAGTGAAAGGGTGTGGTAAAAGAAAATAGCTCAGCTCACGGCAGCTGGGAGTCTGAGACAGTGAGAGGTATAGAAGTCTCATCAGGGATAAAATATAAACCCCATAGGTGTACCATCAGTGACTTGCTTCCTCCAGCCCTAACGTACCTGCCTGTGGTTATCACCCAATATGACAGTCCTTTGAAATGATTAATCTCTGAAGCAGATGAATCTACTAATTTGGTTAAGGCTGTTATAATCTAATCACTTTATCTCCTGTATTAACATGGAGCTTTGGGAGTTCACCTCCTCTCTAAACCACAATAGCTCCTTTTCTTTCATTTTTTTTCATCTGTAAAATGAAGATAGTAATATTATTGGTTTTAATAGCTGTTATGAAGAATAAATGAATTAAAGTGAAGCACTTAAACTGGCACACAGTAAGTACTTGAAAAATCATAGTGCCATTGCTTAGTGCTTGGAGCTTAACAACTTGTCAATCTTTGTGCCTTTAAAAATTTTTAAAACCCATCTATTTATTTATAAGTAACAAAATAGCCAAAACCAAAGTATGAAGTAAACATTTAATCCACTATGCCTATGTGCTTCATTTGATTGGCAGCCCACCGATGATCTGGTATCCTTAGACTTTCCCCTCTTCTGCAGGGGAATATGTTGTTTTCTCAGGTCTTTAATTTTCTTCCTATGGTTTAGGGACCTGAGGATAGATGCACTACCAAGCCTGAACCTAGTAAGGGCCTATAATTGTCTCACAAATTTTGCCTTCAAATGTAGGTTTCCTTGCCTTCCCCAATTGGCCATAGTAATTTATTGCCCTTCACTTTACTTCATTTTATTTGTGGTTTATTTGGTGCTTTTGATGTAAAGTTACCTAATTGGTGATTTTGATGTAAAGTTAACCATTATTTTGCTGGATAAATTGTTCAAGCCTAGTTAAGAAGAAATGTGTGTAAATTACTCTCACTATTCAATGTGGTAAGTGTTATGGTAAAAGAATTTAAAAAATTGTTGGGGAGTTCCAGAAAAAGAGACACTTGATTTTGCCTGCAATGTGAATACCCATTACAAGAGTGCTGCTTGCTTATTTTCTTTCCAACACAACAAGGACATTTAAAGTGTGATATACAGAAATGTGTACTCTAACTTACAGAACTAGGAGGCCAGGAAGATTAGAAAGGAAAATTAGAAAGGTAAATGTACGTTAATAATCCCTGGGGTCAAAAGACAGTACATCTTGTCATATTTGTAGTATTCTGTGTATTATGAAGAAACAAATTTCATATGTGGTCACATGCTACATGAAACTCAGATTTGATCCTAACAGTCTTTTCACCTTATATTAAGCCTAAATATCTAGCTTTGAATGCAGTTATGTTTGTGATTCTTATGTGTTTGACATAATTCCATATAAGAATCTTGCATGTATGGTTGCCTCCCAAATGAATTGATGGTGTTCAAAGCAACATAGAATAGTTGGAAAACTATGTATCATGAGATTTAAAAAAAATGTAGGTTCAAATCTCTTTATCTCTTCTTAGCTGTTCACCTCTTCATAGCTAAGAGATGAGAAATTTATTTCATTGCTCTAAACATTTAATTGACCACAAAATAGTCCTAGTAAAACTATTTTCAAAAGTAGCATCCTAGGTCATTAGGTAATTACAATTAGAATAAAGAGATGTTTCATATACATTAATAATGCCCCAAATCCATAACATTTACATTAACAAATGTTTTGAGAATATGGAGCAATAAGAACTCTCCTTCATCACTGGTGGGAGTTCAAAATGACACAGCCACTTTGGAACAGTTTGGTAGGTTCTTGTAAAACTAAATATACTCTTAACATATGATCCAGCAATCATGCCCCTTGGTGTTTACACAGAAGAACTGAAAATTCATTTCTACATAAAAACCAGAACACTTGGGTATGTAAAGAAGCTTTATGTATGTCTGCCAAAACTCAAAAGCAACCATTTTTTTCTTTAGTAGGTCAGTGGACAAATAAACTATAGTACGTCCAAATAATGTTATATTATTCCACACTAAAAAGAAATTAGCTATTAAACCATGAAAGGACATTGAGGAATCATAATGCATATTATCAAGTGAAATATACTCATTTGAAAAGGCTACATACTATATGATTCCATCTATTTGACATTCTGAAAAATGCAACACTCTGGAGGTATTAAAAAGATTCATGATTTACAGGAGCCAGAGGGGAGAGAATAATGAATTGAGTAGAGCTCTAGCACAGTCAGCTATACCATGTTCCATGTGCCCACATTAAAACCTAGTTATGCTTTTCGCACTAGGTAAACTTAAAAATTTTTATAGGGCCTATTTTGTTAGAGACTCACGGAGTTAATTTTCATTCTCATATGTTCAGCTCTCTTATTTACTGGATGTGACATTAGTCACAGTGATGGCTATTGGCTTCTTCTTGGAACTCTATAAGGTCATGCAAATCTCTTTTTGCTTTCCGTTTCTTTGACCTGAAATGTATCTTTTCAGAGTTTCACAGGGCTAGACTCCATCTCCCGTATTTTAGGTTTCATCTTATCTCTTGTGTCTTCAGAAAAAACTTCAAGGTGTATTAATTTTGTGTCATCTTCTCTTATCTTACCAAGTACCTTTCAGTTGTTCTCCATCTTGTTGACATATTTTATGTTTTAGCACCACTTAGCATCTAAAGTTACATGTCCTATTTGTTTGAACATGTATTATGTTTCTTTCCCTATATTATAATATTCATTGTTCAGTGATTCCTCTTGTAGGAGAGGGGACTGGCTCTTTAAAGTGATTTTAGATGAATGCATCAGCATTTGATAAATATTAGGTTCTTTCTCTATATTTTAAAGTAACTACCATTTTTCCTCTTATAATTCAATATAATAGTTGTAATATTCATATTTTTAGGATATAATGTGATCATATACACACACATATCACTGAAACAATATACTAGATATTGCTTAAGTAGCATAATTCAAATTGGGATATTGTAATCATGGTGAAATTATATATTATATACTCTATATCACGTATCACATGTCACATTATATTATTTATTATTATTAATGCAATACATGGTATTAGATAATATATCGTATTTTTTTATATACCTGTGATGGGATTTTTATAACTAAACATTCTTTTGTGAAACACAAACATTCCCTAAACCATCCAAGTATCTCCATTCTTAATATTTTAAGCTATATTAAATATAATTAGAAGCTTAAGTTGACAATCATCTTAAATTAATGCAAATTTTTCTATCTTCTAGATAGAGCTGTCATTCTGATGCTAAATTTTATGATTAATTAATATTTCCTTCCTTTATATTCAATGTTTCCAGGAAGAACCTTATGTCCTGTTTAAGAAATCTGACAAACCTCTCTATGGGAATGACCGATTTGAGGGCTACTGCATTGATCTCCTCAGAGAGTTATCTACAATCCTTGGCTTTACATATGAGATTAGACTTGTGGAGGATGGGAAATATGGAGCCCAGGATGATGCCAATGGACAGTGGAATGGAATGGTTCGTGAACTAATTGATCATGTAAGTCCCTTTTCTTATTATTTATTACTTTTGGGAGATTGTTACAAGATTTGCTTATGAGTTAATATCTACAAATAACAATAATGTATTTCAAATTCATATTTTCATAAGTTTACTCAAAGTGAATATTATTTTTGTCACTACAGATAAGGAATCTAAGAAGAATATATAATCCTATTGGCCAAAATATGTATCTTAAATTAACTTGTATTTAATGTATAATATCTTGAGATAATTGGTCTTGTAAATTGGGATGTGAATTCCCAACAATGAATATCTCCCTCAATTTTTTTGTTTATTTATTTATTTATATTGGTGCTGGAGATTGAACCCAGGATCTTGTGCTTGCGAGACAAACACTCTACCGACTGAGCTATATCCCCAGCCCCTCTCCCTCATTTTTGCAATGCTAACTTCCTAAGCAACAAAGAATGAATAATGTAAGCTCTTAAGTTTATGCTAAAACTTTCCTGTGTTAGGATAGAGTACTCCTTATTTTTAGAACAAAGGTAAAACAATTATATGAAAAAGTACACACACACACACACACACACACACACATACACACACATATATGATGAACTGAATTATTTTTCAAAAATCATACTACTGTGCAGATTTCAGTATATATATATATATATATATATATATATATATATATATATAGAGAGAGAGAGAGAGAGAGAGAGAGAGAGAGAGACAGAAACAGAGACAAAGATACAGAGATTAGATTTTTAGTTAGCAGCCAAATATCAATTCAAATAAACCATTACCCATTTCATTAAATCATTAGCATATCTTTAAATGACTTAGAATTTATATTTCAACTTGTGAATCCATTAGAAGATGAAAAATATTACATATGCCAAGGTGTACAAATGTAATCCCAAATATTTGAGAGCCTGAGAAGAAAGATCCCATGTTCATGAAAAGTCTGATCAAATTAGTAAGACACTGTCACAAAATAAAAATAAAAAGGGCTGAGGATATAGTTTAGTTGTAAAGTATACTTGGTTTTAACCTCCAAGGAGGAAAAGGTAAGAAAAATCTGAGAGAGAGAGAGAGAGAGAGAGAGCACAACTTAGAACCCAAAACCTTAAACATGGGGAGACTGATAAAATGAATGGACAGAGGCATATGGCACTCACTTGTCACACACAAAAAAAAACAACAACAACACATGGATAGCTGAATATAGAGGTGAGTGACTCTGGAAACACTGAAATTCAATAGTAAAAATCTGGCACAACTGCACTGCACGAGAAACAAATATGCCATTACCTGCTGCATAAGGAGGGCAGTCTCTCCTCCATAGGGACAGAGGTGAAAGGGAAAATTACAAAACACTAAAGAGCAAATTGAGAGATAGAAATATATCCTATTTCCTGGATTGGAAAAATTTATATTTCCAAAATTTTCATACTACCCAATGTGATCTACAGATTCAGTGCAATCTTCTTCCAGATGTAAATGGTATTCTATATAGAACTAGAAAAAAATCATACAGAAGCAAAGAAGACTTGGAATAGTGGAAGTAATCTTGAACCAAAAGAACAAAATGAAGACATTATAAAATCTTATTTCAAGGCAAATTACAGAGCTGTAGTATCAAAAACAGCTTTGTATTGGTTAAACAACAACAACAACACAGACATATAGACCAATGGAACAGCATAAAGATCCCAGAAATAAATCCATACATCTCAGCCAACTGATTCTCAACAAAGGTGCCCAAAACATATTTCACAAAGGATAGCCTTTAACAAATGGCACTGCAAAAACTAGATATCTCTGTGGAGAAGATTGAAACTTGACTTTTATCTCTCACCCTGTACAAAAGTCAACTCAAGATGGATCAATAACCTAATGTAAGAGCTGAAACTCTGAAACTACCAGACAGTAGCAGAAGGAGAACATTTCAATGTATTAATACAGGCAAGAATTTTATTTTTCTGCATAGGACTTCTAAAGCATAGGGGTAAAAAGCAAAATTTGACAAATGAGATTACATCAAACTGAAAATCATTGCACAACATAGGAAATAACAGAGGAAAAATACACCCTAGAGAACAACAACAACAAAATATTGCTCAACTATTCATCTGACAGAGGGTTAATATACAGAATATACAAAGAACTCAAAAACTCCATAACAAAAAACAAGTAATAAATTAAAAATATAGGCAAATGATCTCAATAGACACTTCTAAAAGGGAAAAGTAGAAATGGCCAATAAATATATGGAAAATACTCAATATCATTACTCGTTAGGAAAGTGCAAATCAAAACCTCATCTCACTCCAGTTACAACGGGTATCATAAAAACCAATAACAACTCTGAAAATTAAAAAATGCTGCTAAGAGTAAGGAGACAAAGGAACACTTATACACTGTGGGTTGGAATATAAATTAACATGGCCAGTGTAAAAACAGTGTTCAGTTTCCTGAAAAAAATAAAAATGAAAGTACCATATGATCCAGCTATACCACTCCTGGATATATATCCAAAGGAAATGAAGTACACATATAGAAAGAGATACCTGCTGAGCATGATGGCCCTCACCTGAAATGCTGGTAACCAGGAGGCTAATGGAGGAAGATCTGAAGTTCAAACCAGGCTCAGCAACTTAGAAAGGAAGGCCCTAAGCAAATAAAAACTTGTCTCAAAATAAAAAATTAAAAAGGATGGGGATATGACTCAGTGGTTAAGCACCACTGGGTTCAATTCTTGCTACCAAAACAAAAACAGTAGCCATATCTGCATGCCTAAGCTTATTGTAATATAATAGCTAAAATATGGGATCAGCCTAGGAGCCTATCAATAGATTAATAGATAATGAAAATATGGCATATGTACACAATGAATTATTATTCAGTCATGATGAAGAATGAGATCCTGTCATTTTCTGGAAAATGAATGGAACTGGAAGCCAACATATTAACCAAAATAAGCCAGACACAGAAAGACACGTATTACAAGTTCTCTCTCATATTTGGAAACTTAAAAATAAATTCAACCTGAAAGTAGATGAGGGGGTTCCACGGGGTATGGGTGAAGGTGAGAGCAAGAATAGAGAAAGGGTAGTTGGACATGATCAGTTCAAGGTGTACCATGTATGCAAATATCACAGTGAATTGCACAAATTTGTACAGGTAATATGTACTACTACTACTACTACTACTACTACTAGAAACTTGAAATTTATATGATGCTATTAATATAGTAGTAACTATCAGAAACTGGGGCTTTTTAGGCAATAAAGATAATTTATTGGCTTGCATTTTCTTAAAGTCCTGGGGCAGCAAAATGGCCATGGATGTTGCTCAATCTAGGATATCAGATTCTAATCTCTTTAACCTTTCATCAAAATTTAGTATTTACTTTCTTAGATTTGTTTTACTCAAGCATACACCTTCCCCAAAGTGGCAATTGCTTCCAACAATTGTACAGAAATTATCCAGGAGAAAATAAAGCACCGTTACCCTAATAATTTCATAAGAGACACCAAATTGGTGTATTGGCCTAACTAGTTTATGAACTGAATACTGAACAAATTATTCAATCCGGAGGAAAGTCTCTGGATAATCTCAGGCATATACTTAGTCAAGCAAGAACCTAGTATATAGTGTCAATTCTAGGAAAACCACATTAATTTCAAGCTGGTTGTTCCAAGGGATATGAAGGCATTTTTTCCTTAATAAAATGGAATGAAATCTGCAATGTATATTCATAAAAAACCTCTGAATAAATAATATATGTGAGACTTTTACATTTAGTAAGAGCACAGAAATTATTTTTATCACAAATACCTTTATGTATATATTTGTCACATGTGCTTAGTTAATGCTTTTCCTTTTTTGTGTGTGGTATGAGAGGTTATTGGGGATTGAACTCAGGAGCACTCTACCACTGAGTTATATCTGCAGCCCTTTTTATTTTTTATTTTGAGACAAGGTCTTGCTAAGTTGCCCAGACTGGTCTCAAACTTGGGATCCTTCTGCCTTAGCCTGACAAGTAGCTTGAGATTATAGGCGTGCATTAAATATCTATCAATTAATGCTCTTTTAGTTGGCCTTTTTGATACATAAACTTGATTGAAATGTTCAGTTTTCTAGAATTTTTTCCTGTTCTTAAATTTTTCTACCTAGTCTATGTTTATTCAAGAAAAATTTAGAATAGAAAATGATAGTGAAGAAATAACAATTTAGAATCATGGCACAGAAGATGATGGCTCACCCAATCGGGAAAACATAACTGAGTATTATCATCAATATTTATTTTGAAAAGTCACTTCTGAAATTGAGAACCACTGATATGATCTTCAAATTATTATTCATTTTCAAGTTATCTGTTCATTTTATTCTTCTCAGTGCATACTTGTTAATTTACCTTCTCTTTTTTCCCTTAGTAACAATACAGTCTTACTCTAGCATGCCCTTTTTTGTTGCCTTCCTCATGTTTTAATTGGCTTAGCCTTGGCTTTTAATGTTTACTGTATGTCATATTAACCCTGAATGATGATTATAGGCAACATAGTTTTCTTTAAAAAAACTTCAGTATGATTTGCATATTTGTGAAAATGCCAGTTTTAATGTGGCATAGTAACTGGTACTGTTAATCAGTTCAACTCTTTGAACTTTCCCCTGTCCTTACTTTCCTTGGACAAGGTTATTCTCTCATGGCTTAATAACCATCCTCACACTGAAGTTTCACCGTTCTGCCTATTGAGGGCTGAGCCTCACATCCTCACAATGGTATCTTTAACTGTCTCTGGTATATTCTCCTCTTAAATATTGTTTCAAGCACCTTAAAGGCAGTTAGATTCTATCCAAAGAAAAAATAAGTTGACATCTTTATGACAAGAGGCAGTGTTGCTTCTTGGAGTAAGGCTCCTTGGGAGTTAGGCTCTTGCTCTCCCACAGAAACTGGGAGATAGGGATGTCTTCGTCCTTGATGACTGTATTTCAAAGAGATACTTCCCAGGTCCTTGAGAAAGGCG